AAGGACTGGCTACAAATTTTAAATTCGTTAATTACTATCATCTTCCAATGAATCAATTATAAAAATTAATTAGTAATATACATTTTCGAGCAGCTGAATACACTATATTACCATGAAGGTGGGGGGGGGGGGGTACACATTAAAGCCATTATACGGTAATACCCAATATGCAAATTAGTGGAAGAATTATTCCCTATTCATGGTGTCCACGGAGACCGGTCACTTGTTGTATTCACTACTAGCTATCACTACTTATTATCTATTAAGACACTTGCCATACACGTCAGTCAGTATCCATTATTATGAAAAATAACAATCCCCAGGGTTATTTTCTATGACAACTCTTCATTTGATGGGGCAGACGAGTTCCACTGTACCTACTTTATGCGCCAATGAATGTGTGTGAGGGTAGTGTTTTTGCTTTATTAGTCATCTTGATTTTATATATCTTTATTTTATTATTTGTCTTCAGAATAGTGTAACAGCAGCGAGCGGATGGAATGAGAAGCAAGATATACTCAGGGCTGCGACCAATATGATGCACATACGTGATACATTAAAATAATCAATTGTTTTCTCTACTGGAAATGGAACAAATTCAGCTTCCGTACTTGCCCCAGTATATGTGTGATCCAATAATAGCACATTGTGGGGACTAACGTACAACTCGCAGAATAACCAGATTGATTTTACACAATACAATGTTACATGGCAAATACTGTAGAAAAAACATGGCACAATGACAATTGCATGCTGTTAGTGAAAAAAATGCATGGTTTAGTTAACTGTAATGAAATGGAACTGGACGGAGAGAGAGAGAGAGCTAAAGTTCTTGACACACAACACAAAATTAATGAAATACCAACCTTTTCAAGGCTTTGAATCTAATAGTAATACTCCTGGCTGTTAAATATCCAGGGGTATGCATAAATAAGCCAAGGTCTGACATTCACCCAATATTCACAATTATTTTTATTTCAACAGAACCAAAACGCATGGAAAAATAGGAGTGCATATTAGATCCAGGGAATATAAGAAAGAGATACCCCAAGATAGAACTCGGCAATTACAAAATCCTACAATAGGTATTGCATAGATAAATTAAGTTATCCAGGAGGCGCGACTGTATCCATCAGGGTGTGAATTGTCTATATGTGTCCGTGTCCGAAAAATAGCTAGAAATAAAATCCAACCTCTCAGTAATAAAGTTCCAACGATTTGAACTGCCGGCAGTTCCTTCAGAGCAGCAAGTACCATATATTTCTTTGTCCGATTGTGATATAATAGCTAAGAATATTACTGTTAATCACACAGCAAGTGAGTCTACAATAGTGTGACCTGCAACTCCAGCTAAATTTATTCCAACATTGGATTAACATAGTTCGCCAAGTCTCAAATAATCTGCTAAAAGTAGTTCAGTCCTGGATGATAAACGGCTGCTGTGTAATACTCCTATAACACTGCTATGTACATCCAAAATGGCTTCTCTGCTGGGAATACATTGGAACAGCTAGCTGGTATGTTAAGTCAATTTCCTGGCATCAGAGCCTCCAATATGCTGCATACATTCATCATGTTACTACATCCAAGTTGGACCTGGATTTATATCGTATATAGACTCCATAGAAATAAAAGTAAATCCAGTTTAACGAGACTGTAGACAGCTGGAGAAGGGAGTTGTAATTGATGAAGCTTGACAAGTCGTTAATCCACCATAGGTACCATGGTAGGTCAGCCTTAGGACATTAAATATTTCCAAGTGCTTATCCAAGTGTCAACTAAAAGTCAGATACTGCCAAATAGTTCCCAGCGTCTGGCACCAACAGTGTTGTATTGGTACAACATATTGAGTATTCCAAATTCAGGGTAGCGCAAAGTCACGGACGGCCACAGATATTACCATACTGAAAATAACTAACTGTTTCTTAAGTCCATTATTAAATCCTAGATAGTTTCCAGCTCCATTACGGCATATCTGATAAATTCAACCTTTATATTATATCCCAATGGTTGAATTGACAGGCGCGGATAAGCTTCCTTTTTTTTGGCGATGACAACAGGAAAATAAACATTTGTACGGGGATCTTTACCCTGCATTAATTCCATATGGGGCTACCACGGATATGAATGGGCTACAAACACGAGACAAACGGAGCACATCATGCATCCCAGTGTGCAGGCAGACAATGTGTAGCACATTTTTACTAAGACAGACATAACCTACCCTTGTTTTGTAATAGAACTTACCCTTCCCTGACATATCGCGACTGGCGAGCATATGTACCACCAAAGTCCCTGGCAGACATCATAGACATGTGTTGTGTTGGAGAATCCTCACATTCGTGTATATGCACAACCGTGCCTGGTGGCCGATCCGGTTCGTTGTAGTCGGTCCTCAGTTCATGATCTCCGAGTTTATTCACAGATTCGTGAGCTTTTGTTGCACATTTTATATCAACAAAATCCACAAATGCTGAGAGTGTACCATCCGATGATCTTTTGGATAAAATTTTAACGTTTTCAACACGCCCAAATCTGTGGAAGAGAATAGAAATGAGGTTGAGTCAGACAATTTCACAAGCACAAATTAATAATAAATAGCAATAAAGCCAAGCTGTATAAATTTCAGGTTTGCTAAACCATCCCCACTCATGATGGAATAGTTTTCTTCAAGTGTCATTGGAATAAGCTTGATACTGCACAAGAACTGTATTTAATGATTACTCTAGTATTAGGTTACTGGTATGGGAACTCGTTTATCAAACGACGTCACGTCATGAATTGTTTCTAATTTCAGTCAGTTTTTATGTATATTTTTAACTAAGCAAAAAATTTATCTCATATCGATTAATGGCCGTAATTTGATGGAAATCAATAAAGATACGGCCGATGCCGGCGATCAATTCATCGGGCCTACTGACATGGTAAAAATCAGCTTCAAAGCTAGCGTGGCCCATCTTCAACCACGCGAATTCCCACGAAAAACTGTCGATTGTCATTCTCAAAAAAAACAAAAAAAAAAAACATGTTCAGCTGGATCCTGTTTTCCACGAGGTGTTCATGTGATAACGAGGACTAAAGGTCTATTTTACCAGAAATTTCTTTTTACTAAGGATCCAGATGTAGAGGTACGCGTACAAAACCTCCAGATATAGCATAAAGCAGTCATGTTTTGTTGACCGTTTTGTTTAACAGTGCGACTGGGACATGTTTAATTCAAATCAGGACACACACCGTACTATTAATAAATTGTATTTTAACAAAATACAGCAACCTTTACGGGCCAAGTGCGTGCTTTCATATGCTATTCTACTTGAGGTTCCAGGCACCTATTAACGTACCAATAACAACACGTGCAGTAAGACGTTTTTTTACTACATACTTTTTAGCGTTGTCAGAAATGGCGGAGTAGACTCGCTCAAACCTCTCCTGCCAAAACTACGCATACTCACCGCTTAAAATGCTCCACCAGTTTTTCCTCGCGTA